CGTCCCAGTCCGTACCCACGCTCTTGTCCTTGCCCACGCGCCAGGCCAGGGGTCCCTCGTGGATCATCCGGTGCGAGGTCAGGTCCAGGTTCTGCGGGACCAGAATTCCATGGAAAACAACAGCCGGAATTCCATGGAAAACAACAGCCGGAATTCCAGGGGAAACAACAGCCGGAATTCCAGGGGAAACAACAGCCGGAATTCCAGGGGAAACAACAGCCGGAATTCCAAGGAAAATGCCCCAAATTCCATGGAAAACAACACCTGGAATTCCAGGGAAAACACCCAAATTCCATGGAAAACACCCCAAAATCCAGGGAAAACAACACCCAAAATCCCATGGGAAACAGCCGGAATCCATGGAAAAATGGGAGATTTTCATGGAAAACTGGGTGATTTTCATGGAAAAACGGGGTTTTTTCCTGGAAAACCGCATTTTTCCATGGAAAACCCCGCAATTCCCACGTCCAGCGGGTTGTTCCCGAGTGTTTTTCCCATGGAAAACAGGGAATACCCGGAATTCCCATGGCCAGGGGGTTGTTCCCGAGCGTTTTTCCCATGGAAAACAGGGAATACCCGGAATTGCGCCGCCAGGGGGTTGGAGCTGCGCTCCAGGGCGGAGCTGTCCAGGCGCCGCTGGTGCTCCCGGAGCCGCCGGCGATTCTCGGCGCCGCGAACGGCCTCGTTGACAAAGCTCAGCACGGCACGGCTCTGCTCACGGGCACGGAACAGCTTCTCCCGCTCCGGGGAACCCGCTGGAAAACAGGGGAATCCGTGGGGAAATCCGTGGGAAATCCATGGGAAAAACGGGGAAAAAAATGGGGAAAATCAGGGGAAATTCAGGGAAAAAAATGAGAAAAAACGGGGAAAATCAGGGGAAAATCAGAGGAAATTCAGGGAAAAAATGGGGAAAAAATGGGGAAAATCAGGGGAAAATCAGGGAAAAAATGGGAAAAAAATGGGGAAAATCAGGGGAAATTCAGGGAAAAAAATGGGGAAAAATGGGGAAATTCAGGGGAAAATCAGGGGAAAATCAGGGAAAAAAATGGGGAAAATCAGGGGAAATCCAGGGGAAAAAATGGGAAAA